TGCACTAGTGTTTGGTGCCTAGATATTTATGATTGTCATCTCTTCCTGTTGGATTGTTCCCTTTACAAAGATGTAGTGTCCTTCTTTGTCTCTCTTAATGAGCAACACCCACATCTTAAAGGAGAGGTTTAATTTCGCTCATCGTTTTGGGGTTTCAGTCCATACTTGGCTGGTTTGAAGGCAGAAAGGGCACGGTAGAAGACCATAGCAGAGGAAAGCTGCTCACCGTATGGCAGCCAGGAAGCAGAGAGAGAAGGGAGGAGTCAGGGACAGGAACACACCCTTCCAGGTCACACCCCCTTACTCATTGACCCACTTCCAGTCAGGCCCTAGAGTCTTAACAGCACATTCAGCTATGAATTTATCAGTGGATTAATTCACTAATGAGTATAACACTCCCATGATATAATCACCTTCCATAAGCCCCATCTCTGAATAATGTGACTTTTGGTGGACATTTTAGATCTAAACCATAATATCAGTCAGTGTCATTGCCCAGCTGAAGATGCTCTTGCATACCTCTCTCCAGGATTCCAGACTTTTGAGTTTTGTACCACTTAGTCCTAGTTCAGTACCTCCCTGTGAAATCTTCCCCATCACCTACCACAGAATAAACAGCACTGTTCTCAGTGCCCATAACCAGTCATGGACTGGTGGTGTCCTGATGAGAGCACTGTGGTCATTGTGCTCTGATGTCTTCCTCCCTGCCTGAATCCTGAGTGTCTGGAGGGAGGAAAGTATTTCATCTTTATACCCTCAGTGCCTTATAAACACCAAAACAGCAGTATTTGGGTTAGATTTGTTTTCATTAATTCACTTATACTTTTCCACTATTTTTGACCGTCACTCTGTAAATCCCTTATGATGCCTCTAAAGCTACCATGACGTGGATGCCTAGAGTCATCCTAAATCATACAGTGGGCTTGTTCCGCCGCAGCTTCATTCACCTGCACTAGTATTTTATGCAGTTACTCCGCCTCTTCTATGCATTGTTTGCTTAGCATCTGTGGCAGATTCTGCTGTCAGTGTTGCCATATAACATCAAAAGCAGTAAAGCTCTACTTTAAAACTTGCTACTTTGACCAGGAGGGGCCGGGGATTTAGCTCAGTGGTTTTGCCGCCTGCTGCACAAGCGCAAGGACCTGAGATCGGTCCCCGGTACCAAAAAAAAAAAAAAATTGCTACTTTGGACACCCTGAACTGATAGCACAGGAAGTACCAAAGCAGATGCATGAGGCTCTAGAAAATTTGAAA